CAAAATATATCATATAAAAAAATAAAATCGACCTGTTCGAAGAGTTTTTAAAAAAAAACTAGCTCCACTAAAAATTTTGTTGGAAACAAAAAAATAAGCAAAAATCAGCTTATGATTACGAAAATTGCATTGTAAACAAAACCGTAAATTTTTTGTCGATACAAGATACAATTGAGCAAAAAGTCGTACTAAGATTAAACAAAAGTGTTTGTTGAAACAAAAATTTAAGCGAAAAAAATCGCATAAAGTAATACAAAATTGAGCAAAAAATTCCACTTCAACAAAAATTGCTGTTTATTGCCAGAACAAAATATTAAACATATGTATAATTACAAATAATTTGCTGCTTTTATGTTATAAATCTGCAAGCATTGTAGCTGTTTGTTGTAAAAATTAGTTGAAATTAATATTCACATAATTTTCACGCATATTTTTTTACGCTAAACAACTCGGTCAACTTTCTGTGGTTAACGAAAGCAATAATAATAACTATTATTCATTTACACACTGATTATATTTTGCTCGCTGCGTTATTGCGTGATCATGTTGCGCTTCGAAACTTGTGTCACACTGAAGAAATCATTAATCAACATCAATGGAAGAAATTTTAACTCAATGTTCAATAAAAAAATAAAACAAAATAAAATAAAAAGCACATCAAAATTTTATTAGAAAGTGTAGACATTCCGATCCTTAGTACTAGTAATACCAATTAAAGTTCAGCGAAACATTGCTAATATTGGACTACAGACATCCGTTTTACGATCTCACCGTTATATCTAAAGCTACTAACTGAAATAAATATTTGGTTACTCATCGAATTTAATAATACTAGTAAACGCTTTATAGTAATTTATGGAAAAAAATTGCTCCCTGTCTCTTTTTTTCAGTAGATCTGTTTGATTTACTACTCAAGCATTCGGAAAAAGTAGGATTATTACACACATATATGTCCGCAAGAATGTGCATTTGATTAAAGCAGAAATTTCTCTTTTTAACCACTTACAACTTATCGATTCAACATGATAGGTAGTGAGTGATCTTCAAAATCGATTCCTTCATCAACACAACGACTTAATTATTGCTCATTTCCCGAAACAATTCATAATGCCAACATGTTTATTATCCAAGTAAAGAAAAGTTGTTCATTATTTGTGAGTGATGTGTTTCTGAAACGAGTAAATAAAAAAATAAAAATGTTCCAATTTAGTTGCTGATTTCTTATTTTGTCAACCAAAACAATGAAAAATCGGTAACAAACGGTCGTAAAATATTTAAAAGTAGTAAAGTGAAATTATTGCATTTTTTCATGTGTCATTGTTGTTTTTAATTTAAATTTGATTAATTTAATTTAATTTAATCTAAAATACAGTTTCCTGCACACTATCCGACCTGAAATATAGTGAGTGAGTCAAGAGCCCCATATGAAAGAATTTTAAAGAAGAAAAAAAAGTTTTGTGGAATATTAATTTTTTCACCAATAAGATAAAAAAACCAACTGACCATTATTAAAAAACTAAGAGAAGAACCATACAGGCTGTTCCGTAGATCCTGTTCAATAAATATTTTCAAGATGACAGCACTTCCGGTTACACCGAAAATGAGTATCAAATTTGTTATTTTCAATAGAAAGTTATATTTTTTATTGCGTTTTTTGATTACTCAAGTAATTTTGAAAAAGTTTTTATCAGACTTCCCTATACCTAAATTTAGGTAACCGTTTTTGAAATATTTAGACTTTTTTGAAATTTTTTTAATTTGCATCTTCCTCTTCAAAAATCGATAACTCTACCATTTTTAATTATTTTAAAACCGTATTTGGGCATAAGAAAGAGAAAGGTGAGATCTTTTCTTTCATGTATTTATAATAGGAAAAATAAGTAACAATAAACCTCCAAAGTTTAAGGTTACGTTTAGGAAACTTCAAATACCCGTAACTGAATTTTTTCAAATAAAACTCCCCAATTTTTTCTTCACTACATGAAAGAGAATTTAATTCTGCATCGATCTGTATCAACATTCCCTGTACCTAAATTTAATGATTTCCAAGTTATTTTGACTTTTTTTACAATGGAACGAATTCATTATGGTAGTTTTCGAGAAATATTTCTCACTGAAAAAACGCCAAGTTTTTTTTCACAATTGTGTTATTCTTTTCGTAAATACAAATTAAATTTATTTAATATAAATTTGAATAACTTTGATATTCTACTTTTTTCTTATTTCTATTAAAGTATCTATGGCTAATGAATTTCTCATAATTTCAAATTTTTATTTTGTGTTACTATAACTTGAAAACCATCAAACATATGTATAGGGAATGTTAATGCAGATCGAAGAAGAACTAATTCTTCTACATTTAGTGAAGATAAAATTGGGATGTTTCATTTAGAAAAATTGAGTTAAGTGAATTTGAAGTTTCCTAAACCTTACATTTTGGCGGTTTGTTAATTATTTTTCCAGTTATGAATACACCAAAGGAAAAATCTAACCTTTCTCTCTCATACACCCAAATACGGTTTCAACATAATAAAAAATGGTACAGTTATCGATTTTTGAATAGAAAGATTCAAATCCAAAAAAATTGAAAAAGGTCTAAATACAGGGTGCCCATTTTATTCGTTGGAGCAAAAATAGGCAACATATTATACATTTCAGATAATCATAGTCGGTGCTTGGATATCAAAAATTTCAAAAAAAATTAAATTCAAATACAAATGTATAATAACGGCAAGAAATTAACAAATTATTGTATTATTAGTTGTTTATTTATGAAATTTTAGGGAGAACAGATAAAATAGGCACCCTGTGTTTCGAAAACGGTTAAACTTGAGTATAGGAAAGGCTAATAAAAACTCTCTAAAAATCACTTGAGTAATCCAAAAACGCAATAAAAAACATAGCTTTCTATTTAAAATAACGAAGTTGATATCATCAAGAAATACCGCCATTTTGAAAATATTTTCATTGAGCAGAACCCAACCGATTATGACTATAATTTTTTTTTAGACAAATATCATTGTTAGAACTCCCAATATTTCTAATGCTGGTATAGCCGGAACAGCCTGTATAAGAGAAATATTTTTCTTGTGTTTCTCAAGTAAAATATTCATTAACCCAAAAAATACTAATCAGTAAAAAAGCTAACTGTAAAACCGTAGTGACCGATTTAATGAAGTAATTGATTGATTTGGAAATAATCTAATGAATTATGCTAAAGAATTCTGCTCTAGAGAAAGAAAACAAGTAATTCTTTTTTTCTAATTAATAGACTTAATTTCGGTGAAATATTGCCGAGTCATTATGTTGCGGTAACAGCCCAAATTAATAATGTTTTGAAGAACTGTTAAGTCCTGCCGGTCACTTTTCAATTAAAAATACCGGCAACGATAATAATAGACAAGACTTAGGAAGATTAAACAAAGTCAATATTTGCTTTTTTCGGTATTTCACACACTGAAATTACTTGTTATTACCTCTATTTTAGTACCGTTGACAATTGTGATGTAATAATGATGATTTGATTATTTGTGAGATAGTTCCATTGATTTTATTTCGTTTTTCTGGTTTTTAGTTTCGTTGCAAGTGCATCTCATCAAAGTATAGATAAAGCTGTAATTACCAAGAATCGCCGTGTGCAGATATAAACTGGTAATTACAAAAAAAGCGAGTTGTTCGTGTTATTAACTCGAACTAACCTATTAATATTAATAATGTTTTAAACTTTATTACAAGAGTTTTCTCGAACTATGTTTCGATTTGGTGAAAAACTTAGCTCGTGACTCGTCCCTCTCGTGTGTGGGCAGAGTAGAGACATAAATTTATTCCAAGTTCCAAAGCCGAGATCCTGGTATCATTATTTTCTTTGATTTATTTGCAGAGTGTTCATCAAAAACGTAATAGAGTAGAAGAAAGCGATCCAAATAACAACAATTCGCAACACAAGAAAAACAACACCAACAATGCATTATCATCAAACTCAAATTCTTCCACAGAATTGGACTTATCTACCTCATTAAATCAATTAGTCTTTGAGCAAAAACTCATACCTCAATTAAATGATTCGTTAGCGGTTGAAAATGACAAGTGTGTTAACACGAAAAATAGAACACTTTGCACTAGGAAAGAAGAAGAAACAGAGGAGAAAAATACATGTCATGAAAAACAAAAACCTTTCAAGTGTGAAGACTGCAAGAAGACTTTTAGTCAGTTGCGGAATTACAAGTACCATCGGTAAGTAACGCCACTTTGTTTGTTTATTTTCATAATTTAGCAAAGAAAAACAAAAAAATATCAAATTCCCGCAGTTTTTAATAGCAAATTCGGTGTTTTAATAATAAAGTCAAAAAATGTTTTGTCGCCAAAATGATCATTTCCGTGCCTAGACCCAAAAAGATTTAATATTATTACAATAAATTGAAACAAAAATGAGTGCTTTAATGTCTATTAAAGTAAGTGTTTTAAGATTTAGATTTATCATTTTAAATTATTATTGCAGAGATAGCAGAGATAAAATAAAATTTGTTTTTTTTGTCAAAGAAATTGTAAATAAAAAATTGTGTTTTAATAGCAACAAATAGTTCTTTAATGACAGTTTTAGTTAGGACTGTGAACAGAAAAGTAAAAGTTGCATTATAAAATAAGTGATTTAAAGTCCATTATTTTGCACACAACTTTAATTTTTTAATAAAAAAACATACAAAGTTAAAAAATATTTAAACTGTAGTTTTAAAATGTGAAATGCGTGTTTTGATAATAACTATTACTTACAGCACCCAAATGAGTGAAGTGTTTTAAGATTTAGATTTATGATATTGCAAAGATATAGTCAAAAATTTCTTTTGTCAAAAAAAATTATAAACAGAAATGAGTTTTGGGATAGTTATTTCGGTACCCAAAACAGTAGTTTAATGACAATTGTAGCTTTGACTATAAAGAGAAAAGTAAAAGTTGTATTTTAAAATGAGTGATTTAAATCCATTATTTCAACACTCAATTCATTTTTTTTAATAAAAATTACTGGAGATGAGTGTTTTAATAACTATTAGAGCACCCAAACGAGTGTTTTAATAACCGTTTCAAGAATCCGATTTATGCTTTTATTTGTACCGTGAGAATGGAAAATGGTCATGGAATGGAAAACGTTTGTCGTTTCTTATATCATCCTTTTGAAATAATTGTGTCAATGTTGGATCACTGACAGCGTCGACACAATTATTTTAAAATCCATGACCACCCCTGACCAAGATAATTTTTCATTTCATGGTATTATTATTCCAGAAATAAAGTTAAATATAAAAGTAAAAGTGAGTTTATGTGGCAAAACTAAACGTTTATTTTGAGAAACGTAGGGAAGCAAATAATTCAGCTGATGAGGATTAAAATTTTCGAATGTGTTTATTAATTTAACTAGTGCAGTTAGTAATGAAAAATGTCAAACGCTAATGATCTATAATGTACCTCTCCTGAAATTGCTGAAGCAGCGAAAGAAACAACATGTAAATGTCAATAATATCATGGTAAAAGTAAAATCGCTTAGGCGTAAAAATAAACTTTTTACTCCATGGCTGAAAGGTGCCAGAACTCACGCCCCAGAGAAAAAATTTAAATAAGGTAAGATACCACGAACTTGGAAAAAATGTTTAAAAAAAATCTGTCAAATATTTTTGACATTTGACATTTTTTTATGTCTATTTAATGATACTGATGATCTTGTATATGTTTGTTACAATTATTTAGTAAAGGTAGAAAAATTTTGCCAATAAAAGCCACAAATAACATTAAACAGAGTTACAACTTAGGATATAGCTTTCTTGTTTCCTCTTTTAATAGCCTATAGCAAAAAAACTTGGAAAATTATTTTTCCAACAGAAATAAATAGAATCAAAGTGCAAAATTTAAACCCTCATAACTTCGAAATTTTTATAGATACAATTTTTTTAACATTTTTTTCCATCTTACCTTATATGGCGTTTTTCTCTGGGGCGCGAGTTCTAGCGCACCCTGTATAATCAAAAATGAGTTTTTTAGTGGCCGTTTCAGTGCTTTAGTAGCAGTTTTAGTCATTTCTTTAGACTCATTGCAAAAAACTTGTATTATAAACTGGAGTGTCTAGTTCAGCACTCAGAAGGTTAAAATAAGTGTTTTAACTAAAATTACCAGACATAGAAAGGCAAAATGAGTATTTTAATAACCATTATATGTTTTTATAGCCGTTTTAAAAGTCATATTTATGCTTTATTACTACAGAAATAAATACCGTGCGATCAAAAAAATAAATAAATTAGAGCAGGCGGTGATTAAAGTTCTTCAGATGGCAATCCTGATTTTTGACATCAAATGTCAGCGAAAACTTTGACAATTGTGCTTTTTATTCATTTTTTAAGTGAAATAATGTTCACTTTAGAGCAGAAATTGTTTATTGCTGTACAAGACGAAAACGGTGAACGGTCATTTTCGTGTTAAAATTTCCAGCCCAGATTCCCAGCCAACGTGTTGCCAACTGTAGAGCATTAATCGTCGCCTACTCTATTTTTTTTTTTTTTTGATGGCACGGTACTTTAAAGTGGGATTTTTTCATCAAAAACTCGATTTTGCAGATCTGTACATGAAGGAACGAAAGAGTTTGCAGCCAAATGTCCCGAATGTGGTAAAAACTTCAATGATCGAGGATATTTAAGCAGTCATATGAAGATACACCGTGACCGGAAAGAATATGCTTGTCCACACTGTCCAAAAAGGTTCAATCAAAGAGTGGCTTACAACATGCATCTACGAATTCACACAGGTAATTTTTTGCTTTGTGTATACAGGATGCGCCAGAACTCGCTGTTTAAAAAAATCTATCTGTCAAAAAAATTTGACATTTATTTTTTGACATTTGACATTTTTTTTATGTCTATTTAATGATACTGAATACAGGGTTATTCATAAATATAAAGCAATATTTGAACCTCAAAAATGACCTATAAAATGATGTTAATTGAAATAATAACTCGTGTCCTATAAGAATTTTACAGCCCTCGGAAAGTGGGTATGGAAATTTGATTTTTTTGTAATAACTTTGGAACTATTTGACCAAATATTATAAAATTTAGAACATTTCCCTGTGACAACATACCCTTTAAACTGGTAATCACGAAAACCGGATACATCCACTCAATTTCCGGTTCCAGCAGTTGCAGGTCACATTTTCTGGGTTTTTCCATTTTTTTTTGCTCTCTTAACACCAATTTTTTATTGCCCAAATCGATAGAGTAATGAATTTCGATTAATAAACGCATTTAATATCCCTAAAATGGACCGTTTCAAAGATATTTTAATTTAAACTGAGGACTGCACAACGCTGAAACCAAAAAGTAGGGATTTTGAATGGATGATATCCACGGTAACAAGTGACCATGGTCTCACTAATCGCTGTCAGGCATCTGTCAACTTTGACATTGGACGATTATTAGACAATTAATCGAAAATATTTAATAAAAGAGTTTACCTCAGATTCCAAACATAACTTAGAATAAATCCAAATGGATCTCGTAGCATTTAATTCAAAAAAATTCACAAAAATTTATTGTCAAAGTTAACAGATGCCTGGCAGGGATTTATGTGACCATGGTCATTGGTTGCCGTGGATACCATTTATTCAAAATCCCTATTTTTTGATTTCAGCGTTGTGTAGTCCTCAGTTTAAATTAAAATATCTTTGAAACGGTCCATTTTAGGGGTATTAAATGCGTTTATTAATCGAAATTCATTACTCTATCGATTTGGGCAATAAAAAATTGGTGTTAAGAGAGCAAAAAAATGAAAAAACACAGAAAATGTGAACTGCAACTGCTGAAACCGGAAATTGAATGGATGTATCCGGTTTTCGTGATTACCAGTTTAAAGGGTATGTTGTCACATGGAAATGTTCCAAATTTTATAATATTTGGTCAAATAGTTCCAAAGTTATTACAAAAAAATCAAATTTCCATACCCACATTCCGAGGGCTGTAAAATTCTTATCAGTAGAGATAGGACACGAGTTATTATTTAAATTAACATCATTTTATAGGTCATTTTTGAGGTTCAAATATTGCTTCATATTTATGAATAACCCTGTATGATCTTGTATATGTTTTTTTATAATTATTTAGTAAAGGGACAAAAATTTTGCTAATGAAAGCCACAAATAATATTGAACAGAGTTCCAATTTAGGATACAGCTTCCTTGTGTCCTCTTTTAATAGCCTATAACAAAAAAACTTGAAAATTATTTTTCCAACAGAAATAAATAGAGTCAAAGTGCAATATTTAAACCCTCATAACTTCGAAATTTTTATAGATAAAATTTTTTTAACATTTTTTCCATGTTCCTGGTATCTTGCCTTATATGGCATTTTTCTTTGGGGCGCGAGTTCTGGCGCACTCTGTATTAACAACAAATTTAAGACACTCGAGTTTCTCTGTAATTATCCAGCAGGTATAAATAAGTCACGTCAAAGCGTCATCTAGACAAAATAAAGGAATAGCAATTACGTAGAATGAAAATTACAACTTTGCACATCGTATTTTACAGCTTCAGTCTAAACAATGCTTCCATACATGAAGATATTATAATTGATAAACAAATAAGTCTGTCGGCAAGTCTTGCGGTGTTTAGCAATTAATTTAAAGATTGAACGCTAAAATGAATATTTTTCTTCAGCATAGAAAGTCCGCATTCCCGGTAAACGTGACCGCAGGTGTGCGGAAAGCTCATCATAAATCTAAATTCCTTATTGTTATTTGTAACTAGTAATTTCATTGTTGTTTGTGACTCTCCTTTTTAAATATTAAGGGGAACTCGACTGTTTGGAGATATAGGGAAAATCAATGTTAAATCTGCCCTCAAATAACTCAAAAACGCATCAATTAATTAATTTCTGTTTTCACTATGTGAAAGAGTATATTTTTCTACATGAGATAAAAGAGACAAATTGTCAATTTTTGTTTTTTTAATAGACTTTTGAATTTTCATTATAATGAAAATGTGTTTAAGTAATTTATTTCTTTCTTTTTAATTTCATTTTTTAATTACCACTTAAAAAACATAATTTTGTAATTTTTATGTGTAATAACTTTTATTTTTTTCACGATACAGGTGCGCCAGAACTCGCGCCCCAGAAAAAAATGCCGTATAAAGTAAGATACCAGGAACATGGAAAAAATATTTTAAAAAAATATCTATAAAAATTTCAAAGTTATGAGAGTTTAAATTTTGCACTTTAACTCTATTTATTTCTGTTGGAAAAATAATTTTTCAAGTTTTTTTGCTGCAGGCTATTATAACAAGACCCAGGGAAGCTTTATTATAAATTGCAACTCTGTTCAATGTTATTTGTGGCTTTTATTGGCAAAATTTTTGTACTTTTACTAAATAATTGTAAAAAAAACATATACAAGATCATCAGTACCATTAAATAGACAAAAAAATGTCAAATGTCAAAAAATAAATGTCAAAATTTCTTGTCAGATAGAATTTTTTAAACATTTTTTCCGTGTTTCTTTCTGGTATCTTATCTTACTTGAAATTTTTCTCTGGGGCGCGAGTTCTGGTCAAACATGCACGATTTTAGTTGTTTTAATCAGTTAGGTACTTGTAAAGAAAATATAAACCAGTAATTTGTTGTATCCTTGTTTTTATAATTAAGAAAAATGTAAAAACTTATGCACGATTCTGTGGGTAATTCCTATAGTATTCCACAAATGTGTATAATAAAGGGGTATCAGCACTACCTACTATAACAAAGACAATTATTTATTGGTAAAAAAAAGTTTTTATTTTATCTTTTGGCATGATATACGAAAGAATTTTGAAGGATGAATAATTTTTTTATACAAAGATGTTCATTTTATTGTTAATATTATTAATAATAATAATAATAATAAAGGTCTTTATTAATAAATTAAAAGTAATACAAAGATGCGGAGGCGAAGTCTAGCTTGAAGCTATTCAACTTAATCTCAAAAGAAAATTGATAGAAAAAAAAACAATTATAACATAAAAATAAAAATAATTATTATAAACAATATAAAATTTAAATAAAAATAAATTCGAAAGTTAATAATAAAAGTGAATTAAGAAATCATTGCCAGTCTCTCAAAAACAAAAAGAAAAAACAAAAAAGAACTAAGAAAAAATGAAAAAAAAAATTGAACAGAAATAAATTCTTTTGCATTTATTTTTACCATCAGTTATCCAACTCAGTTGAACAAAGTTAATTATTCAAAAGCAAGTTCTTAATTTAAACACTGAATTTCTAGAATTAAAGATTTCGATGTATTTGTTATATGTATGTTCTAATTACGTTATAAGTGCGGTACGAATTATTATTAAAATGTTTCACGTTGTATGTAATAAGTAATAAGAGTACCTACATTCTTTTTAAATGTGAAACAATAGGTTATTGTTATTACTTATTATTATAAACATTTTATTTTAATTCGTGCTATCTGGATTTTTTTCCATCCCAAGTGCTGACTGCCGTTCAAAATTATTTTTCGGTTTTGCTTTTGCTTCACATCACCCACAGTCCCAGAATTTACAGTTATCTTTTGGTCGAAATCCCCTTAACAAAACCGGTGCTCTTTTTTGTAGGAATAAAGCCACACGAATGCCCCACATGTGGTAAAAGCTTCTCGAGAAAAATGTTGTTGAAGCAACACCAACGTGTTCATACGGGAGAAAGACCGTATTCTTGTCCGGAATGTGGAAAAACTTTCGCAGATCGATCTAATATGAGCTTACATGCCAGGCTACATACAGGTATGTATGAAATCACTTATTCTCACACATTCATTATTAAAAAGATGCGTAAAAGTTTTGCTTTTTCTGAAACGGAATCATTAAGTAAAAGGTGCTGTTTTATGACATTTTAGCAAGTCTAGAACTCATAAAATTCTCTAATTACTTGTTTACCAAGAATTTTACAGTTTTGTTAAAATCACACGTTAATGTAGTGACACGAGCTCTTTAATTTTTGTCAAAAAAGTCGAAGAACAAATAAGTACTCGTCCTAGTGCAGTTTCTAACTTCCGAGAACTGTTATTATTTTGAAAATTTTTCGGTTTTAAAAGAATTTTTTTTTATAGGATTGAAAATTTGACATAAAAAAGTCTAAAACCGGCACTAAAGTAGTTTATTACACCAGTTTTCTGTATATTTTTCTTTATTTTTCTGTTTCGTGATTTTCTATGGTCGCTAGTTATTTTTCGGTTTATGAAAGTTTGAACAAATTTTGTCCAAATTTGCAATTTCGGAAAGAAATCTAATATGCACCTCGGCACTAAAGTCATTTCTTATTAGTCATTCGTACTTAATAAAAAATAAGACTTAGTGCCTTAATACATAAATAACTATCACATTGTGGTTTTATTTATTTGACAACTATATGTCACTTTGACCTTTGACAATTAATATATTAATTAAATAATGATAGTTCTTGTTAAAAATTACTTTGTTTCTTATCTTTAAGCAGTCTCTTTGGGTTGTTATTTAGTAAAATTATGTTTTCCACAAATATTTTTGTTATTTAACATGCGTAAACTCAAAAAACAAGAAAAAAATGAACTTTTCTTTCTACTGAGTAGAATAATGAAGTTTTAATTACAGATTTGTTCGTTTCAAATTAAACAATAAATGTTTTTCCTATGCAGTTTTGGTGTAAAATCAAAGATATTTTTTTTCCTCTTTTAAACTCAATCCGGGGACATACTGTATATTGCTGCTAAGGCCATCAAAAAGTTGTGATATTTTTTCAGACTTTCTGAACTACGATTTATTTTTTTATTTAGTATAGTTCAACCTAGCGTAATCACGTAACGCATAAAGGAGTTCATGCAAATATAACCTAAATTACCACAAACCTATGAAGAATCTAAAAAATCTTTCTTAATTTTCTTTACAATAACGTTGGAACTTAAGAACGTAGACGTAAGAATTTTTTTTCATTTCCAAATTTAAAATTAATCGCGAATTAAAATTGTAATCAAATATACTATGAACTGGCCTTTATTGTTTAACGTAATAACGCAGAATAAAAACGTAATTATTATAAAAAAAAATTAATAACGTATATAGGGAAACATGAAAACTTAAACGTAAACGAAAGAACGTGAAATGCTGATGATAACATGTCGGCACATTTTAGATAAAACCTAAAAAGACTCGAACGTACATACAAAAATAAGCAAAACCTATAAGAATTTAAGGACTTATCTAATTAAACTAAAAAACGAAAAAATTCAAAACGTAAAAGTATAAGAGAAAAAGATAAATTATATAGTAGATTACATCATAAGAGTAGCAGTGAGACATTATATTCTTAATGAAATATACTATTTTATCTTCAAGCGGATCGCAAAGAAACGAGAATTTTTACTTTTTAGGGTTAAATGGACATTGGCCATCTTGCTAATTCTGATTTTGATATCTGTCATCCATGCACATGGGCGACTCGTGTTACACCACAGTGGCGTCGGTTAAATATTGAGTAATAACACAGATTATACAGATATGACAGCTACAGCAAAATCGCGAAATGGATGTTACCCCCACTTGGCCACCCGGCCCTCTCAACGGTCTTCGGATACCGCCAAATTCAAATGTACTTTACGTATTGAAAATAATCTTTCGTAAAGCAAACAACAAAAATTTACGTTATTAATGTTTTCATTTTGCATCACTTTATTCCAACTTCCAAAATAACACTAACTTTCCACCCGGCAAACCTTATTTATATGCATCAATCATTATAACCTCAAAAACTTGTCATGTGTTGTTATGTCAAAATGCAAACTGCCAAATAACTTAGTTACTTTATTTGTGTTGGTTGGTGCCCATGTTGGTACTTTCAACACTGCCAACCTAAAAACGGCCCTCTCAACGGTCGTTTTGGAGGCATGGAAGGGGTAAATCTGATACTCACAAATGAACAATCTTATATTTCACTTTTTCATAAAATTCACAACATTTATATGGAAACTAATTGTTGTAATATGTTTGTTGAAATACGTAGAACACAACTGCTATGATTTTTTGTGACTCTTGGCAAAAAGTACTGTGAAAAAACAGTTTATCTATTTTGGCGACAAAAAGTTGTCATATCTGTATAATCAGTGGTAATAATTTTGTTATTTTGCTTATTTAATAAAGATTATTTAATTATTAAATCATTCGTGTAATTATTGATGAGGAAAATGCTTCAAATGACCTCTTCTTTGACTCGGTCGAGCCGCCCTTGTGGACATTCAACTCCACTCACAAAAAAGCCACTTAAACCGTTTCTATAAACAATACAATACAAAGGCGCTATTTTCGACTGTTACATAAAAAAGAAAATTTTTGTCAGTATCAGAAATCTCTTCTTTTGTTAAATTTTGCATCATTTTTAAACGTTGTAATCTAACACTCGAGTTTTAATGCCTTCTTGAAATCGTGAATGTAGCATTATTATCATGATCATTAAATATGCAATTCAATTGCACCTAATCCGCTCATCCTCCAATTTAATATCAATAAAACGGAGTCCCGCCTGCCTTTTGAGTTCAAAGTATCCATGAAAAAGCATTTATTCTCCTCCTCTTTACTTGTTACGTTCCAATATTATATTTTACGCATTTTTTGTTACAATGGTCTGTATTTACAGTCGCTTAACTGTAATGAAACGCCACACACCTTGGCGTAAAAGTAATTATCCGCTTGATTTTCCTGACTCATGCTTCGATGACAGCGATGTCTTTCAAGCATCACATTTTAATTGGAAAAATAAGAGAAAAAAAGGACACATATCGATAGTGATCATAAATCGTTGTTTTTTTTTTCAGGCGTGAAACCCTACTCGTGCAATTTATGTTCCAAGAGTTTCACGAAGAAACATCACCTGAAAACACACATGAATTTCCACACTGGACTGAAACCGTATACTTGTCAGAAATGCGGATTGGCGTTCTCGCAAAGCAGCAACATGAGGACTCATTACAAGAAGTGCGTTTTGAAGAGCAACGGGGGGCCCTCGTCGGCCGATGCCGACAGCAATTGATGCGAATTCTCTCCAATTTTAGTGTAATTGAAAACTGTGATACTTAGAGTAATCGGTTAAAAAATATATCCAATTTTTGTATACGTTATTTATGATGTATTTATGAATTATTTATTTATGAATAATAAAACATTTAAGTTTTTCAACCAATAATTTCATTGCATTGTGCCTCCGTGACACATCCTCCACTTCTCTCGTCTCTGAAGAGCCCTTTTTTGCAATAGCATCCTTCAACGCATTGCAAAGTGCAAGGTCTTACTTCCGGTTGAGTGCATGTTACTGGACAAGCAGTACCGCAAAGTCTATACTCTTCACCTTCTCCTGAACAATCAAATTCAGTTTCACTCCCTAGAACTTAAAAAACAACTTAACTTTTCCAAATATTGAAATATTTATTAATTACCTGCAACAATTGCAACAAAAGCCAACAAAATAAAACTTGAACCAAACATCATTATGATTTAGGAGTTTTCTGTACAATACGACAAAGTTAAACACTTTTATAGTAACTATAATTATTATTAATCAGTGAAATTGGTATTTTACATAAATTTAAATTGATAATTGAAAAATTGAGATAAAATGAAAAGTATCCAACAATTATGTACAATTAACCCAAATCAAAATAGATATGTGTCAGGACCGGGCCCCACATTATAATTAGTTATAGATAAGTAAAAAGTAATCACTTGAGCAGTGGCCAAAAAAATTATTTCTTAAATTTGGCGCGACGTCATTAATGTCAACTTTTTACTTAATTAAGGCCGTTTTACAAGGCTGACATCACTATATTATTCATACAATGAAAATTTTCAATTTTTGTTTAATTAAATAAACGAGATTTTAGAAATAAATCTACTGTTTGTTAAGCTGTATTATGATCAATAAATGATAGTTAATATTAGAATAAAAACTGAGATTACATCATGACATTTTCATGTAAACCGGCCTTTATGCATTTACGTTTTTGTAGGTTATGTTTGTTGTACCCATGTTCTCTTTTTATTGCTATTTATTTAATAAAAATACAGTGTCATAACGAAGTACTGTTCAAAAATAGCAACCAGGATAAAGAGAATTCCGCCTGGAGCGTTCCAAATGGATAAAGTCCTTAATTCTAATATAAAAACGGTACCAAAAATCGCTGAAAATTCCTCACACTCAGATGTATTTTCCAGGCGTTTCATTTATTAAACGAGGGTAAAATAGCCGCAACAGACCTCATAAAAGCCTCAATAGAAAAAGCAAAAAAACTAAACAAATACAACGCTTTTATAACCCTAACTGACAATGAGGCAAAAAAGCAGTCGCAAGAATCTGTCTCGCGTTACGAAACGAAGAAACCTTTGTCTCAGCTAGACGGCATACCAATTGCTATTAAAGACAATTTCTGTACTGGTAACATTAGAACAACATGTGGTTCCGAAATGTTGAAAAATTTCACCCCAACTTACAACGCCACTGTTTATGAGAGATTACTGAACTCTGGTTGTGTTCTCATTGGGAAAACAAACTTGGACCAGTTTGCCATGGGGTCAGGGACTGTGGACTCAATTTTCGGGCCTACGAAAAACCATTGGGGGTTTAAAAAAGACAAGTTTCATATTTCTGGGGGCAGTAGTGGAGGAAGTGCGGTTTCAGTGGCAACAGGGACGTGTTTTGCAGCTATTGGGTCGGACACAGGCGGGTCTACACGAAACCCAGCCTCATATTGCGGCCTAGTGGGGCTCAAACCCACCTATGGGCTGGTCTCAAGACATGGGTTGATCCCTCTAGTCAACTCCATGGACGTGCCAGGGATTCTGACCAGATATGTAGACGATTGTGTCGCAATTTTGAACAGTGTCGCCGGTTTTGATCCCAAAGACTCAACTTCCCTCACAAAACCTTACAAAAGCATCAAGTTACCACCGGCGAGCAAATTGAGTATAAAAAACTTGAAAGTTGGGATTCCTCGTGAATACCATTGCGAGCATTTAAATGGCGAAATTTTGCAAACTTGGGACGAAATTGCGAAGTTTTTGCACGAAAATGGGGCAAGTGTTGTGCAAGTCTCAATGCTCCATACCGAGTACAGCATTGTGTGCTATTCAATACTAAACCAATGTGAAGTTGCCAGCAATATGGCCAGATTCGACGGCATTGAATTCGGTTTCCGGGCTAGAGAAAACTCATCAACAGAAAAATTGTTTGCAACTAGTCGAAGTTTGGGCTTTAACGACGTCGTCAGAAACAGAATTTTAACCGGAAATTATTTCCTACTCTCTAGAAACTATGAAAAATATTTTAATCAAGCCCTGAAAGTCCGACGATTGATATTGCAAGATTTTGACAATGTTTGGGAACAAGTTCAGGTGTTATTAACACCAACAACACTAACTACAGCTCCTTTATACAACGATTTTGTACAAAAAACGAACAGAGAACAGTGTGCTTTGCAGGATTATTGTACACAACCGGCGAACATGGCCGGTAATTAAAATATTTTTGTACGAAATAATTATTAATTGTTATTTTTCAGGAATTCCTGCAGTTACAATCCCTATCAAATTATCAAGTAACGGAATGCCGATCAGTTTACAACTTATGGGGCGAAACTTGAGCGAAAATGTGCTCCTAGCAGTAGCAAAATTTATAGAAAACGCGGTACAATTCAAACATGAGACAATATAATTTAATCTTCCCCTGCCGGCATCGCGTCTTCTAATCTCCTGATGAATTTAACCCTGATTTCCGTGTTTTGATCCCCTTTCAACTGGTCCTGCAAAAAAATTATTATTGGTGTTATTAACAAACAAATTATTTACTTGAACAATCCAGCTCTGCACATCCAACTGGACCATCTCCAGAGCCCCCCTGATGACCCCACAAATCACGTTGCAGTACTTCAAACTCTTCAATTCATCAGGGAGTTCTACCAAATCCGTCATGGGGTTAGTGTCCAAAATGAAGGAAAATTCGTCGCCAGCTGCACTCCAATTAGCCACATTTGGTTGTACCCCCAAATACATGCGAAAAGCGCTCTGGATCTTGTCCGCCGTGTCTTTCAGGTCCAAACAACGGCCGGTTCCTGTTTTGGCAAGGAAATCCTCAATCAGTCTCACGCCCATGTTGTAACCTAACCGCTCCAACTGCTTACTCACATCGTCGGTGTTGTCCAAGTCTTTTATCATTTGGGTCACCAAAGCGCCATAGGTTAGAGTGACCAATTCGGAATTCTGAAAGCTTTTTCATCAAGTTTTTTTTCATTGGAAGTTGGGGTTAACGTACCACTTTTTTCGTGTCGAAGCGGGTCGAAGCGCGGGACATGTTGGCAACTAACAGGTTTAGAGGCGATTGTTAGATATTTTGTTGTTTTTTACGATTCACAATAATATTTTTATTATTAATTGGAAAAAAGATATGACACTAGTGACAAAATGTAATACTTAAAAAATAAAAAACCCTAACAGGCGGTGGTCTTGTATCAGTTTATTCTACGCTGCTGGGCAGTAAAACTTCGAATGACCTCGGCAACTTCAACAAATGATGATGAAATAAATATTGAACTATCTTTAAATGGTCACAATTTTTATTTAAGTTTTGGCGTTCTCAGAGCCACAACAATTGACGTAACTCGAACCACCATCTTCTTTGGACAGTGTGCCAGAGGGAATAAAAAAAGGGTAAGTTTCCTTTTTTATAAAAACATTATTGTTTGTAAAGTAAACGTTTGCTTAGCACACTTATGTGCGGCTTTTTACATCC